ACACACACACACACACACCTGTGAGGTATGGCGACCGCCGTGACCCAAACCCCAAGGCACACACTTGCAACAATCCTGGCGCGGGATTTCACTGCAAACGTGTAACGCACATTCCTATATAGATCGAGTGGAAAGGAAAAGAATTATGCGTATGCTGATGTGGAAGGATGCATACGGTCACAAGTAGAAACGATAAAATTGACATGCCACCAAAATCAGACCCAATGATGTGGCAAGGATTGCCAACCGTTTAAGGCTTTGCACGAAATTGACATTCATGCTGCTTCCAAACACTGCTCACCTGTGCTCGCCGCTCCAAGACTCATTGCCTTTGCACATCCCGCCAACAGTCTCAATCCATCCTGGCTTGAAGACTGTCGCGTTGGCACGAAAGGTGTTGCTCCCGCCTGAGGTTGATCTAGACCATAGTGTAGTAGTTGCTGTTGTGGCAGGTGTGTAGCATGGGGTAAGGGTAGGCATGGTGGCTGTAGAGTACCTGGATCGAAGCTCGACAGTGACGCCCTTGGGGTGTGGGCAGTTCCTTCAAATGCGACCCACGTGGAGGTAGGCAAATAAGGAAGGCCATTGTAGCAAGGCAGTGGCTGAGGTGGTTGGTAAGGCATGCCCGTAGCACAGCTTGGCATTGTGCTGCTTTGACTGCTAGCCTGACAGCGGATTCCATCACTTTGGGGATATGAAAGCTATAGAGAACAGTGTGTTGTTTTACGGGTATGCGGGGAAACACCACTCCCTCAGCCGTCATGTGCGACAGAATGGAGAACTGAAAGGTGTTCTTCGTAAAGATAGTGGAGTAATTTGATCCCACTTCCATTCCCTAGAACACTGCTCCCACCAGAAACGAATGTGATGATACATGTTTGGTGCGAAAATTTGGATAATACCTCTACTATATCCCGACTGCTATCGCCACAAACTTCACTTTACCAACGAGGCTCGCCTCGCAATGATGTTTCAAGATGGTAAGTCAGTTGCTCAAAGCACGCCACAACGCTTCTTCTTAGACCACTCATATATATGCCTATCGCAAGAACGTACCGGAGCAGAATGAGACGAACCGTAGAACGATGTGGGAGGAAAGGGGGCTGTCGGTGGTTGGTGTGGTTGGATTGGTGTCTGCGGAGGTAGGGAAGTAAGCGACCAGCTACAGCCTCTCTCCGTTAGTGTGGGCTGGGACACAATAGCAGCCATTGAAGAAATCATCTAAAGGAATGGTCAGTGGTAAAACGTTTGGCAGGTTAGGAGTCAAGCAAAATGGAAAGCAAGCAATAGGCACCACTTAAAGGTTAACCAAATAGCAGGCAAGTGAATTGAAGAATTGCACTATTTTATTCACAGGCACAAGCCTGCTGCTCTGGAAGTGTGGAGGTGAATGTAAAGAGCTGGACGAAAATGACGTACACTCTGCATTTCTTGAATTGAAGTGACAGTCGG